AGGAACAGAATAGGAAGCATAGCCCAAGAAACAAAATATCTGTGATGGATAACAGAGGAAAGCAGGTTAGACATTAAAGACTTTCCTAAAATAGGAAGCAGAAGTGGGGGGGGGGAATTATTTTGAATCATGCAACAGCAGAAAGAAAGGGATAAATTACTGTCATTGGGGTTTTCCTGCCTCACCCCTTATCTTCTATGTTACATTTCTGCCATATATTGCATTCTTCTGAAACCAACAACATACAGGTAGTCATTGACTTACAACCATTTGTTTATCAATCATTTGAAGTAACAATGGCATTGAAATTACTGGCTAATGTCTGGTCCTCACAGTTACAGCCGTCACAGTCTCCCTTCAGTCACAGAATCAAAATTTAGGCAGTTGGTGACATCAGTATGTATTTATGGGGGTTGTAGCATCCTGCATTCATGTAATCCTCATTTGTGACTTTCCCAGCTCTCTTTCCATATGCAAAGCCAATGGAGCAAGCTGGAGCTCCTTAATGACTGTGTGATTCACTTAACAGAGTGGCAAAACTGGTTGTAATACTGAGCATGACTCACTTAACAACTGGCTTGCTTGGCAATGGAAATTCTGTGGCAGAAAGTCAAGGACTAGAAATATTTTGTCGCAGGTGCATGTTTAGCCTTTGCTTCATCAAGAGGGAAAAAGAAAAGGAAAAATGAAGCAAAACAAATTGATGAAATCTTCTCAGCAATTGTCCATTGCAAAACTCCCAATAACCTCTGTGTAAGAGTTGTAAGATCTTGTCTATTTTATGACCACCTGCAGATTGTCTTTGTCTTCTTGTTTTGAGCCCCTAATCTGAGGGCCAATGATTATATTCCTATTGATTTGTATTAACATTAGGAAGGTGTTTGGGTGGGCTTATGATACTATGTCTGCATCCATTCAAGTACACAGTTTCAGAGGTCAGTGTGACACCGCTGATATTATGACCTTTTCAACAAAAGAATTCAACAATGATTAGTTTAAGGCAAATAGAGAGTTAGTATACTTAGCTCTTCAATTGCCTCAAAGTATTCATTGCTATAAAAGTATTCTCTCTCCAAAAGAAGAAAAGAAAAACAAATTTCCACTGTTTCCCCTTCAATTTATATTATTGTCCTTCCACAGAGAGGCTGACTAAAAATGAAAATGAAAGGCAGCCCATTCAAACACAAGAAGAAGCTCAATCAACTAATATCCCATTGTGTTGTCACTGAAAATTTATTTGGTTAAAAAAGAAAAGAAAATTGGTGGAAATAAAACTGAGAGAGCATAATCTGGGAGTAAGATCAAGGGAACAAATAGTTCTCTTACCCATTTTGTTAGTTTTAGAGAAAAGTATCACTAACAAATCACTTTGTTAGCTTTAGAGAAAAAAATCACTATTTTCTTCATTAGCCATCCCTTTTCCATCTTATATGTTTTTCTTTTTTAACCAAATAAATGTTCAGTAGCAACACCATGGGATATTAGTTGAATGCGCTTCTTCTTGTGTTTGAATGGGCTGCCTTTCATTTTCATTTTTAGACAGCCTCTCTGTGGAAGGACAATGATATAAATTGAAGGGGAAACAGTGGCAACTTGTTTTTCTTTTCTTCTTTTGGAGAGAGATTACTTTTTATAGCAATGAATAATTTGAGGCAAATGAAGAGCTAAGTATACTAATTCTTTATTTGCCTTAAAACATTCATTGATTATTTCTTTTGTTGAAAAGGTCATAATATC